CACATTAAACATGAAAACACTAAACTCTTCAAAATAAAACAGGAACCATGGAGAGACGTAGACATGACACCACAAGCCTGACAATTAGAACATGGAACACGCTGAGAGACGGACACACAGGCATAACTGAAAAGTAAAACCACCGAGGACGAGACAGACTACAAAGAGGACAACAAAAGACTTCAGGAGTTATAGATGAAACAAAAACTAGAATGAAACTCAATTAAATTCTAACTAATAATAACAACCAAAGAACTAAACATATTTCTAATATAACATGAGGAATCAAAAATGCAAAATAAACTCAAAACGCTCGGTCACAGACCCAGCGCCTGACAATTTCTTTGAGCAAGCCATCATTAGCAGTAACATTTAGCCTTGTTTCCAGAGATTGTCGATCCATTTGTTAGTTCCTGCAAATTTTTAATAAAATTTTTCTTGCCCAACTGTGCTTGAACCCCAAAAGTGTGCCCTTTAATTCCCTTCCATCTTCTACTGTAGTTTGCACCATTATTTTATTGGTGTCTATTCAGTAACGATTCAGTGAGCTTGATGTTTGTCTTGCTCCTGATTTAGATATAGATCAACTCAACATTTGTATGAAAATGTTAGCTGGCAGCGTCCTCTGATCAAGTATTTCTTTTGTTTCTTTGCCCATCAGGCACTCCGACAGAGGAGACCTGGCCTGGTATCAGCAGTAATGAGGAATTTATGTCCTACCTCTTTCCTCAGTACAGACCTCAAGCTCTCATCAACCATGTGCCCCGGTAAAACTCACAATCTTCTGTTCACTGACACGAAAAACAAGCTAACATTTGCTAATTAGCATCACATGCAGAATAATTGCTGACGCTGGTATCAGTTTGCTTGCATGTTTTTTGTTGTTGTTGTTGTTGTTGTTTTTTAAAGGATGCAAAACATTTTTGAAGAAAGTAACTAGTTTTCGAGCCATCACATTGATAATGGTAACTTTATTTGTCCCCAATATGCTAATGTTGTTGTCATGTTTCAGGTCTTACATAGTTAACTGAACTCAAAGTTAATTATGTCAATTCTGAACACAAAATACAATACAGTATAAAAATGTTATTCATTGTTTACAGTAGTAATATGCATTTAAAGGCACAATTGGTGCCTTTAAATGCATATTACTGGTGACAAGTGGTGTCCTGTACAGAAACTGTATTTCTTGCAGCTAAACTCATTATACAGTCTGTTGCTTTGTGTCCCTAAGGTTGGACCCAGAAGGGATCGACCTGCTGTCTGCTCTGTTGCTGGTAAAGGACCACACATCCACACTCCTGGTTATGAGGACCTAAATATTCAGACTCACCGATGAGCTGTTTTTATCTCATGATTGCAGTATGACACCCGGAGCAGACTCTCCTCTGAAACCGCTCTACGTCACCCCTACTTCCTGAGTCTGGGAGACAACATTCA